GTTGGAGGAAGAGGAAGCTCTCTGCACACTCACCGGACCTGGGCTAGGACTGGGTCCGGGGGCTCCCGGAACTAGGCAGAAAATCCTACTCTGCGGGCGGGGTAGGGGAGGCACTGCGGAGTGGTGGGGGGCGGCCCAAGGGGCTGGGAAAGGGTCAGGTCCACTCTGCACCTGGGCTGGGACTGGTCCCGCAGGCGCAGGGTAGCAGGAAGCTCTCTGCACACTCACCGGACCTGGGCTAGGATTGGGTCCGGGGGCTCCCGGAACTAGGCAGCGTAGCTGTAGTTTTTGAAAAGATTCTACATAAATATGAAACACTTTTTTTATCACTGGTAATATAACCAGATATCTTGTCAGTATGTTCAGATTCACACTATTAAATTTCATATTAAAATATGATAAAAAGGCTTCTCACTGAGCGCCTGTCAATTGTGGCAGTTTAGGATTTTGATACAATTCATACAACTCTAATTATTTTATTTTTTGCTTTTCCAGGGCTGTATTTGGCTGTTTTGTGAGGAAGTCTGAGGAAAGAAAGAAAGAAGAAAAAATATGGTAAAAAGAGGCATTAAAAAAGAACTACTAGGGGCTGAGGAGATGGCTCAGTGGAATAAAAACTTCCCTGGCAAGTGCAAGGGCCTGAGTTCAATCCCCGGTTCCGCCCCCCCAAATTAATTAATTCATTAATTAAAAAATAAAATAAAAATATAAAAAGAAATACTAAAGAGATAAATATTGAAAAACAGTATTCAGAGTGATCACCTCACAAATAACTAAATTTTTAAGATAATTTTCCAAATGATACAAGCAGGGCCAAGATGTAATAATAGCAGTAACCATTGAAATTCGATTGCGGGCTGAGCATCTATTAGGTACTGTTTTACCTACTTTCATTATATTTACTGTCGTATCTAATTCTCACAAAGACAGAATGCAGTAATTGTTATTTTAGTCCTATTTCAGTGATAGAGAATCAATCAAAACCTCAATTGGGCGCTGGCAAGATAGCTCAGCTGACTAACTGCATAGTTAAGGGCAGGGACCAGGATTTGATTCCCAGTACTGCATGTTGCACTGGCCCCATCGGCAAGCGAATCAGAACCTGGAGGTACC